TAGTGGTTTGGCACCTTTGAGGAGCCTTGAGAACTGAGGTGTTCTATTCCCACGCTCCAGCCCTTCATCAAGCCCAGGGGAGCCCGTTGTTGGCCCTTTCACCATGAGAAAACACTGAACCTGCATCTGCTCCCTGGTTTGAGCCTGTGCCTTCATGAGCTCACCAGCCAAATATACAGTCATCCAGATGACTCCTATTACTAGGTTGGCTGGAATAGACTAGACCCAAATAATGGTACACTTCTGTCCATCCCTATTCTGGGAAGAAGTCCCTCCTTGGAGCTTACAGGGAAGGATAACAATGTGAATCATAGTGGGTCACACCTAAGGGAGAGCCCAGTCACCAGGAATAGACCTTCTCAGGAACAGGCTCATATTCTCTGCCAATTAAAGAATGTAAAAGGCAGGAAAGATGTAGTGCTGGAACTCTTGGGGAGTCTCATCAGAGCCATCATTTGATAGCTGAGAAATCAGGGTTCCCTCTTGGGGTTCTAATTCTCACTAATAAAAGAATTGTCAGAACACAAACAGAAGCTTGAAGACAACTTTACTTACTAAAAGGAAAACCCCACGGCAGGCAAGTTGTAAATCCTGAACTGCCTAGAAAGACAGACAAGAACAGAGAAGGAACAAAGCCCTGCTGCTTGAGGTAAGGCAGCTGGAGTGCGGCAGGTGCTGTGTGCAGAGAGATGAACCGCCAAGGCATCTCTTTCCTCCAGAAACAAGTTTATTGGTGCTAGCACCTGGCGCTGAGATACTTTTCAAAAGCAGAGCCTTGAACAAAGGAAGACCCAACCTTTTCTATGCTCCGTTAGTTCCCCATTTACAGTTCATTTTGTCTCCCATATATCACACATATACCAAATGGGTGCTCCATGTTACAAGGTCCTCACAGGCAGAACTGTGTACAGGCACTCAGGCACAGACTACGCTGTATTTCTTTTTCTTTGTTGGGGGAGTGGGAGTGGTTACCATAGGAGATCAGCCACCTGGTGGCAGGCAGCCACACTGTAGGGAGAGACCTTTTTAAAAAAGAGCAAGGAAATCCAAAGCATTAGTGAGGGAATTTAAAAGCACTTAGGCTCTGGCCAGCATCAAAAAGAAAAAGACAAAGAGAAGGAAAGAATAGTTACATCCCCTCTGAGTCAGGGGCTGAACTAGGGAATTCTGGGAAGGAGAAGCACATTATGTTAAGATGAACCTGCCTCCCTTGGGGTGGTTTGCCTAGCCATGTCTGCAACCTGCCTTACTGAATTAACCCTTAAAGGAGACAAGAGCATGGCTCCACCTAGGGGTAGACTCCATTCTTTACAATAATACATCTTCCCTGAACATTGTTACAGTGTCAGAGAACAGAAAAGCCTGTTTTGTTTTGTAGAGACAGGGAATCTGCAGTCCAGGCTCACCTTGAATTTGTGAACCCCTTGCCTCAGCTTCCTGGGTGCTGGGATGTATAGCACCTCACTTGGTAGCAAGGTATCCTAATAACTAACTCACTAGCACACCTTCCTGAATGTAGCAGAGGGACCAGGCTGGGTAGCCTTGGGGTGCACACAGACCTTTCAGAGAGTTCTCTGCTAGTGTGAGAACGGTCCACCTCAAACAGAATGCATAAGAACCATGCACGGGATGCTATGATTTGGATGTGTTTTATTCCCCTATTGGTTCATGTGTTAGAGGCTTGATCTCCTCTATGGCAGTACGGAAATGTAGAACCTTTAAGAGATAAATGGTAAGAGGTTATTGGGCCACAGTACAACACCCTTGGAAGGGATTCGTGCATGAATTGTGGAACTGAATTAATTCCCAGAAAGCAGATTATTATAAGGGAGCCCAGCACTCCCAAATGATAGCACCACGTCCCTTTTTTTTTTTTTTTTTTTCTTTTTTTTCCAACACTGAGGGTAGCCTGTGCATGTTAGACAAGTGCTCTACTACTGAGCTACATCCCTAGCCCTTCAGTTTTTGAGACAAGACTCTCATTATGTAGCCCTAACTGGCTTGGAGCTTACATTCTTTTTCTTCTAGTTATAAAGCCCTGGGATTGCGGCTGGAGAGATGGCTCAGTCGTTAAGAGCACTTGATGCTCTTCCAGAGGACCTGCACTTGGTTCCCAGGACTCTTGTAAGACAGCTCACACTAGCCTGTAACTCCAGCTCCAGGGGATCTGATACCCTCTTCTGGCCTCTGTGGGCACATGCGCACACATTGCATACACTTACACACACACACATAAAAATAATAAAAATAAATCTTCAATGTATAAGATTATCACACCAAGTTCCAACTTATCTATATTTTATTGTCATTTTGCTTTTTGTATCATATTTAAGAAATTACTATCTAACTGGGTGCGGTAGTACAGCCAGGACTGTATAATGAGACTCTGTCTCAAAAACAAAAAACAAAAAACGACTACTATCTAAACCAAGATGATAATTTGTTTTGTTTCCTTTTAAGTCTTTAGTGCTGACATTTGTGCCTCTGATCCATTTGAGTTACATTTTTGTATATGGCATGAGACTCTTAATCAAACAAGAAAAACCAAGGTAAGCATGGTATACAACTTATTAGTCCCAGCTGCTACTGGGAGGCTAAAGCAAGAGGTTCTTGCCTGAGCAAGACAGCAATACCTTGTCTCTTATTAAACTGACAGGAACCAGAGATTGCATTTGATTTTAGGCAAAGGGCAGAAAAGTGATAGCCTCTTACAAAAAAAAAATTTTTTTTTTTTGTTATTTTGAGACAGGGTCTCCCTGTAGTCCCAGCTGGCCTGGAACTTGCTGTGTAGACCAGGCTAGCTTTAAACTCACAGAGATCTGCCTGCCTCCACCTCCCAAATGCTGGGATTGAAAGTGTGCAACACTATGCCCAGCTAGTACAAAAAAAAGAAAGAAATTAAGGAAAAAATAATGTTTTAACTTTAAAAAAAATTTTTAATTTATGTGAATGTGTATGATCCGAATGTCTATAAGTGCATCTGTGTCCTTCAATGCCCACAGAAGTCAGAAAAAGGTGTCAGATCCCTTGGAACTGGAGTTACCATGTGGATGCTGGAAATCAAACCCAGGTCCTCTGCAAGAGCAGTCAGTGCTCTTAACTGCTAAGCCATCTCCCAGCCCCTTTTTTTATTTTTTATGCTGAGATGTGGGTGCTGAGACTTGAACCCAAGTCCTCTACAAGACCAACCAGTACTCTTAACCACTGAGCCATCTCTCCAGCCCCAACTTTTTTTTTTTTAGACAGGTTCTCACTATGCAGCTCTATCTGGCCTGGAACTCTCTATGTAGACCAGGCTGGCCTTAAGCTCAGAGACTTCTGCCCCTGCCTCCTGAGGGATAAAATTAAAGGCATGTGTCACCATGCCCAGCTTAAAAAATAAAAAAATTAGGGCTGGAGAGATGGCTCAGCGGTTAAGAGCACTGGCTGCTCCACAGAGGACCTGTGTTCGATTCCCAGCATCCACATGACAGCTAACAGCTATCCATTAACTCTAGTTCAAGGGGATCTGCCAACCTCTGTTGACCTCCATGGGCACTGCATGACATGCATGCACTTACATACATGCAAGCAATACACTCATACACACAAAAAATAAAAATAACAAAGTATATTAAAAAAACTTTACAAAAAATAATTTTAATTGGGGCAGGCAAAATAGTTCAGTGAGCCTAACCACCTGAACTCAGGAGGCAGAGGCAAGTAGATCTCTGTGAGATGGAGGTCAGCCTGGTCTGTATATCGAATTCTAGGCTTGCTAGGGCTACAGAGAGACCCTGTCTCAAAAACCCAAATTAATTTTAAAAACAAATGTATACTAAAAAAAAAATGAAAAATCCAAAATATTTACTTATTTCTTGGAAAATAAAATGAAACACAAGAAAGAAAATTGATCACGCCCATACATAGGCCAGTTATGCTTTACCTACTCCATACTTGATATTTTGGGGTTTGTTTTTTCAGATTTTTTTTTTTTTTAAATTATGGGAGAGAGGTATGTGAATGTGAATACAGTGCTCATTGATGGTCAGAAGAGGGCGGTGGAGCCCCTAGGTCTGGAGATAGAGATAGTGAACCTCCAGAGCAATGCATGCTCTTTACCGCTGACTCATCTTTCCAGCCCCCTTTTGCTTCTTTTTATGTGTGTGTGTGCATGTGAAAACCAAAGGTCAACTTCAGGTGTCCTTCCTCGGAAGCCACCCCCACCTTGTCATTTGGATAGGGTCTCTGATAGACTGGCTGGCCAGCATGCCCCAGGGGTCCCATCTCTGCCTCCCAAGCACTGGGCTTACAAGCACACACTATCTCACTCAACTTTTTGCTGGGTTTTTGTTTTCTTTTGTTGTTTTTAACGTGGGTTCTGGGCATCAATCAAGGTCCTCGTGCTTTGCGCATTTAGCACTGTAAGGACTCAGCTATCTACCCAGTCCCACTGTTTTACTTCTTGCAACAGCCTATGTAGCCCAACTCCTCCTGCCTCAGCCTCCCCAGGGCTGAGATTATGGGCATTTACAGGTGTGTGCCATCACATCTGGCCTATACTTTTAGACAAATTGCCTCCATTTCCTCAAAGACCTTCGGCTAACGCTACAACTGGGTCCCTGTACTTGGTGGCCGTTTGGTAGCGCCCTCCCAAACCATACCCCAAAGTCACATACCGCAGCACGGCAACCCAAACCCACACCTCCCCTACAGAGCCTGTGAAAGGTCCACGGGGATGCGGCAGCACCATCGGGCAACAAAGGGTCGCTTCCCGAGGCCCGGTACAAGCAGGAAGTAATGGCCGGAAGTAAAGCAAGTCTTCCAGCATTCTTTTCTGAGCTCTTTCTCTGTCTCCACCCTTTTCCTCGGCTTTGCCTATCATCCTCTTCTAACTACACTTCCCACTCCATAACGCGTGTCCACAGTGAAGATGGCGCCTGCCGGGAAAGGAACCGCGGGCTCGGCTTCAGGCCAGCCGCCGCAGCTATCTCACTTCCGGTGGCGCTGCAGTGACGCGGAGCGCGCCCGGAAGCGTGTGCGAGGCGGTGCGGTGGATGGAGGTCAACGAGGGTGTTCGGCTCACTAGTCTCGCGTCCTGGGGAGCAGGGGCTGCTGAACGTGGGTACCCGGGGCAAGAAGGGTGGCTGGGAAAGGAAGAGGTCGTCCGGGCCGGCGGGGCGATTCCGCTGTAGGCAGTGAGCCCCAGAAAAGAGGTAGGGGACACGGTGACCGGGTGGGGTGAGGGAAGGGCGCTGGGCCGGTAGCTAGGGCAGGTCCGGCCGGCTCGTACGCACGTGCCGCTCTACCTACTGTATGCACGCGGCGCGGCCCGGGAGGCTTGCGAGGCGACACCGCCTCTCTTGAGGTGCCCTGAGAGGCGTTTTTCGTCTCCTTCCGTTTTAGATTTCCGGGTGGAAATTGACCTAAACAAAAGCTTCTGGGCTTAAGTTTCTTTCTTTAAATTGCTCTTAGTTGTGTGGAAATTGGGAGGTTTTCCAGTGCTTCCTCACTTTCTGGGTTTAGTGAATTTGGGGCGCGGGCAAGTGTTCCTGTTCTCTGAACCCCACCCGCCTCAGGTATAATGTATGTATAAAGTATTTTACTGCTGCAATAATATGCTTATATGACAATAAAATATGCCGCTCTAACCGGGTGTTGTGGCTCATGCCTTTAATTCCTGCACTTGGGAGGCAGAGGCAGGGGCATCTCTGAAATAGAGACCAGCCTGATCTAAATAGCAGGTTCCAGGCCAGCTGGGACTACAGGGAAACACTGTCTCTAAAATATGCTGGCCTTATACCAGGCTCCTGGAAATACACAAAATTTCTTTAAAGAGCTTTGTGCTTTGATCCAGGCAAGTCCTGGTAACTTGTCTCACTTAGTTCCTATCTCTCCTTAGGGAATGCGACTGGCAGAGTTGTTAAAAGAAACATAAGGACATGTAGGACCTTCTTGAAGAAGGTAAGGTTCTGCTGGGCTTCATACAGATAAGGTAGGTTTTGCTGGGTCCTGTGCTGGGTGGGGAGGGCACTAGCAAGTCTTGCAACATGAGCTGAAAGTGCAAGTCTGATTAGAGTGGAGCTTAGGTTTTGTGTATTATGGGGAGAGGCAGTAAAACTGGAAGCAAGCACTTCATGTGAGAGAATGGAGAGTTTTGCTTTTGATGTGTTAGGGATGTGGCTTAGTTGGTACAGTGTATCTATGGTACATGAAGCCCTGGATTCAATTCCAAGCACTGCATAAAACTAGGAGTGGTGGCAGATGCCTATAATTCTAGCCCTTGGGAGAAAGAAGTAGGATCAGAAGAAGTTCAAGGTCATCCTCAGAGACCCTACCTCCCCAAAAAGCCTATTGTTACTGGGTTTAAGAGTTTGGAAGAAAGTGGCTTTTTTTTTTTTTTTTTCCAGATGAGTTACTGATGTAGTCTGCATTTGGCAAAGCTCACTCCTGTGTCTGTAGTGTTAAGAAGCTTCCCTGAGAAGCTTCCTGAATGTGAGTTATATGTCCTAGGTTTCCCAAAATCATTCTGACTTAGAATATCCTTGTTTCTTTAAGCCAATAATTTTTTGAACCTGAATATCTTTGAAAATGGGGAGGGGGGGGGCTTGTCCTCAAGATTTTTTCCTATAAAAGCTAGTTTTAGGAGATAACTGGAACTTCATGTCATTTGTTATGTTTTTCTTCTAGGTCGTGGGTCAGGACTGCCTCTGTAATGCTTCCCTCTCTTTTCTCTTCAGGACTTTGGAATCACTTGCTAGGAGTTTTATCTCCCCTCTCCCCCATTCCTAGCCATCATGGCAGTTCGCCTGGTGAAGCAGTGCACATGTCTCTGGAGAGAAGCTACCCGCCTAGTCCCTACTGTGGCTCCAGTTGGGCGACTGAGACTTGCTGGGGTGGCACATAAGGCTTTGACCTCCTCAGTCACCTCACCCAGTTCCCAGACCCCAAGTTCCCTGACGGAGCTGTTGAGAAAGGAACAAGTATTTACTCCCTACCCAGAACATCAAGAGGTGGACTACCTCATTGAGAAAGCCACCAGGCCCGAGGAGCTGCTAGATCTGCTTGGTGGTAACCACAAACTGCACCATAATCATCCTGCCCTCATTCTCATCCAGATCTCTTACCTGCTGTCTGAGAAACCAAAAGAAAAGGCCTTGCTCGTACAGGATGCTCGCTTTAAGCAACTTACAGGTCTGGTCAACAGCCAGGTGAGTACTCACTTAGATAAGGGGAAAATAGCCATAGGCACCAGCTATAGACAGGAGACCCCAGCATCTTCTGGCATTTCTTATTTTAGATTTCAAAGAACTTTGATGTGCTTTCTGTTTATTCTCCTGCCAGCCCCATTAGGTAAATGTTGTAGTCAAAGATAGGCAACCCAACACCTGTTTGGAGAGTACTGGTTCTTCTCAGTTCCTTTCCCCTTGACAACACTTAATTCTCACCCTCAGTGACTGGCTGTCATTTAACAGCACTCTTGAAGCCAGAGGCAATACAGTGTGACTGTAGGGTCCTTTAAGCTCAAAATGTATTGTAGCCACATTCACACTCTCAGAGGATGACAGGGAAGAGGTGAGGTCTGTTTGTATGGCTCTTGGGCAGCACTAACTACACCAGCCAGTTTCTGTCCAGTATGAGGAAATGCCCCTTCACACAGCTGCCTCCCTAGGTTCCATCAGCTAAAAGGAGGTACAACCCTGCCATGGCCAAACTGACCTTTACTTCCTAGTCTGAGTGTGGTGAAGAAGGGATTGTGCTAAGTGTTTTTTGAGCTGCAGGTTTTAAAATCAATGTAAGACATGGCTGGGATGGGGGTTTTTCTGTTGTTCTTTTTTATTTAGAGATAGGATTTCAGTAGGTAGCCCTGGCTAGCGTGACTCCTGCTATGTGAACCAGGCTGGCATCTGTATCCTGAGTGCCGGGATTAAAGGTGTGATTCCCATGCCCTCCCCGTCCCCTTTTTTTAAAGCATTTATTTGTGTAGTGTGTATGCTTGTAGATTATATATGGAGATCAGAAGACACATGTGTCAGTCCTTTCCTACCATGTGGGTCCTTGAGATCAATAACAGGTCGTTAGGCTTAACTGCAATTAACTTTACCCCCTGAGCCACCTTCCAGCCCTGAAACAAAGGTCTTTCAGATGTAAACGGTTTAGAGGTTAGCTTTCAGAGAGTTTCTTGCTATCCAGGAGCCTGGAAAGATGTAGGCATCCAGACCTTCCAGAGCACTAGGATAACTCTTGTGCTTTATCTGCCTCCCCAGCCCTTCAGACAGCAGCATCTCCATTTCCTGCCTGCCTCCTTGCATGTGTTCTTTGCACTCTCATTACACCCTTTGTGTAATGGGGTATCCAAAAGACTTACCTTTAACTGCAGGACACTCCTAGCTCAGATCACATGTATATGACTTTTCTCATCACAAGGACAAAGTACATGAGAGCAACTTAAGGCTCGGAGTTTAGAGAGTACAGCCCGTTGTGGTAGTGAAAATGTTAAGTGGGAGCTTGTGGTGGTTGGTCCCGTCAAAGCAGCAGACAGGAAGGGAAGCAGGAAAGACTATAACGAGTTAATAGTAAAACTGACCCTAGAGCTGGGTGTGGTGGTGCACACCTTTAGTCCCAGCACTCAGGAGGCAGAGGCAGGCAGATCTCTGAGGTCAAGGCCAGCCTGGTCTACATAGTTCCAGGAAAGCTGGGCCTACAGGGAGACCCTATCTCAAAAAGACCAAAAAATAATAATAATAAACTGACCCTAGAAAGCCAGTGTTGCCGCCTGTGCTAGTGGAGTCAAGGCTCTTGTGCCCACTCCAACCTGCAGCTAGACCTACTTTGCTTACAGTTCAGGTATGCATAACACATAGACCAAGATTGAATCTGTATTAGAGAATTTTCTCTTAACACTTAAAATTATTTCTTGGACAGACAGGCTACCCAGGCCATCTCCAGTAGTGGAAAACTAAGAGGACCAGGCTCAGGGAAATAGGTCCCGTGAGGCTGGGGTGGGAGTAACTGTTCTGAAGAATTTAATAAAATGCTTGTGAAACTGGCTTCATAGAGCCCTTTTAGAAGATCAACAGGGCTCCATATGTGGTTGCCTTTGTCCTTTCCCTGTCCAGATAGCTTCAGTCTGGCACGGGACCCTTGTGAAGCTGCTGCGGAGCATGTACACACTGGCACTTCCACAGACCACCAAGGAGCTGCAGTCAGTGGAGCAGGAGGTGCGCTGGCGCCTGCGGAGGCTGAAGTACAAGCACTTGGTCTTCCTTGCTGAGTCCTGTGCTTCTTCCATGCGGGAACACCACTCCCAAGAGCTGCTGGCTGAGCTGCTGATGCATCTGGAGAGGCGCTGGACAGAGATCTCTGATAGCCGCACCCTGGTGGTCATGATGATGAAGGCAGGGTGCTTCTCAGAATCATTGATGAACCGCCTGGAAGACAAGGTATGGGGCTAAGAGCAGACTTCCTGGGGGGCTTTGAGCCTACTCCTTAGGTTATTGTCTTGTGCACTGGGATAGGAGCCCTTCAAGCTTCTGGACAGAATCTCAGGCATCACATAGATAAGGACTCTAGCCACATTGATCCAGTAGCCACCCACATGATCTATAGAGATACATGTGGCAAGTACCTCCTGAAGTTAACACAAGGGTCCTGGTTAGGCCTGAGCTAGCTCCTACACAGTTGAGCTTCTTGCTAGAGCCCTCCTAGAGATGGCTATGTCCAGCCTCACCCCTCCTCCCACCCTTGGTGCTACCCTTGCAGTCAAGTCAAATTCAGTTCCCATCCTATCATGATGGGAGCTGGCCAAAATGGCTGCCACAGTAACTTCTGCTGCTCATGGGCCCTGTGTCCTCTGCCCTGGGACCTGGGGATAAGTTTGGCTGCAGACATTGTATTCTAGGCCCATGAGTACCTGGGGCAGACAAAGAGGCAGGTCCTGTGCAGACGGGCCTGTGTTGAGTAAGCTCAGGCCCAGTTGCTATCTCACAGGGGCTGCACTGGATGGGACCCCTGCCCCCAGCTCGTCCCCACCTCAGCTGATCCCTGCGGGGCTGTGGTTGACAGTGCCTGGAGCTGGTGGAGCAGTTTGGCCCTGATGAGCTTCGGAAAGTGCTAGTGACGCTGGCAGCACAGAGCCGGCGGTCGGTGCCCCTGCTGCGGGCCATCTCCTACCACCTGGTTCAGAAGCCCTTCGTACTGACAAAAGACATGCTCCTGGACCTGGCCTACGCCTATGGTGAGGAGAGGGAGCCCTGGCCACAGACATGTGCAGCCATGTCAAATTCAGTGCCTACTCTACCAATGGCAGGCACTGGCCCAAAAGGCTGCCATAGAAATACTGTGACTCATGGGCCCTGTACCCTTGCCTGGGCTCAGGGATAAATTTGGTCACAGACATCAAGCCCCTAAACCTCAAGGCTGAGATGGGGCGGGGCAGTGGATGGCCACTGACTTCCCCAGCTGATGTCAGTTCCATCCCAAAGGCAAACTCAACTTCCACCAAACCCAAGTGTCCCAGCGCCTGGCTGCTGACCTGCTAACCCTCATTCCTAGCCTGACATCTGGTGAGGTGGCCCGCTGCACCAAGTCCTTTGCTTTGCTCAAGTGGCTCAACCTGCCCCTCTTTGAAGCCTTTACCCAGGTAAGTCAGAACCAATTCTGGGGCTCTCTGTACCTAGGGACTCTAGGCCTCAGTTGGGAGCTGCTGCTTTATTTATGGAAGTAGAGCCAGGCTTTGTGGATCATAAATGCAGGGTACTTTTTATTCATTTGGAAAGGTAGGGGAAAGCATTTGAGAGCTGTTTCCTCTGTTTTGTCCCTGAACATCCTGTTTCCATTCATCTTGGGGCAGTTATGGCTCTGCACAGGGAGGGAAGGCTAAGAATCTCTCTACCAGCTACTGACCACCTCAAGTAGAAATGCATGGAAAGACAGACCGTGTACTCACATGTCCCTGTAGCTGTCAGAGAAAATTTCTAAAGTTAATGTCAGAGAGGTGGATTCCAGGACTCTGCTCTCTGGGCATCTGCTGCTGGATGAAGGGTCTGGGCTCTGGGGAGGGGAGAAGACAGCTGCTGTCAAGGCACTTACTTACCTTGTCCCTCTGATTGACCTAGCATCTCCTGAGCAGAGCACAAAATGTCTCCCTGTCTCATCTAAGCAACATGCTTCTAGCTTTTGCCCGTCTGAACTTCCATCCAGAACAAGAGGATCAATTCTTCAACTTGGTATGAGCATTTGGACAGGCATTCCCCTTGCCTGCTACCTGCTTGCTCCTGACTCAAGCTACTGTCCTAGGAGTGGCTTGGACTGAGTGGGAGAGATGGGGCCACAACACTAAACGTGGGAGAATCAGGGACATCCCAGAAGCCCTTGGTGAACAGCCGTATCATTGAGGACTTGCTGCCCTAGGATGTTGTAGTCTCTGGACCGAGCCTACTTTCTCTACCATACTCTCTTCTTGTCCAGGTACGTGAAAAGCTGATACCCATGCTGGGGAACCTGGAGCCAGCCCTGCAGGTGGACCTGGTATGGGCACTTTGTGTGCTGCAGCAGGTGCAGGAGGCAGAGTTGCAAGCAGTTCTCCATCCTGAATTTCACACAAAATATCTAGGTGAGGATTCCTCCTGTACATAACACATGCCCACACACTTGTGCATCCAGAAATCTTCCTGGTTTACCCGCCAGGGAAGAAGGGAACATTGGAGCAGAGAAGAAAGCCAAATGTACCCCTAGAACTTTTCCATCCCCTCCCTGCAATTGGCCCATAGAACTTAACCTTGGAGTGCCAACCTAAGACTGGCTGGGGAACCACTACCTTTCCATCTAGTGTCTCTTCTGATCCCTATTTCTACACCTGCTGCTGTACATCAACCTACCTTTCTCTGTTCCCCAGGGAGCAAATCTCCAAAGGACCAGAACATCTTACAGAAGTTGGTCCATATCAACACCACTGCCCGGCTGGAGCACCCTGAGTACAAAGGTCCCTTCCTGCCAGCATCGGCTGTGGCCCTCACTCCCTCAGCCTCTGACAAGAAGATGACTCCCCTACAAAAGGACCTGCAGGAGACTCTAAAGGCACTGCTGGGGAGTGCTGACCGGGGCAGCCTGGAGGTGGCCACCCAGTATGGCTGGGTGCTGGGTGAGGGCTCCCCTCTGCTGGGAACGGGCCTGGATCTAACATGACCATTATAACCTTGCATGCTGCAATAAAAAACAACCCAGAGCTGTAGGCATCTCCCCCATTCCTGTGTGTGTTTGTCCTGTGGAATCTCAGGGACATCACATGCAGATTCTTAGCCCATTCCCTTCCCCTAGATGCAGAAGTAGTCCTGAGTGCTGATGGCCAGTTTCTGCCCCTGAGGGATTTTGTTGCTCCTCACCTTATCCAGCCAGTTGGGAGCCAGCCACTGCCTCCAGGGGCTAAGAGGTAGGTAGCCACAGGTCCCTGGTACTGGCCCTAGATGGGTCACACAGGCACTGCTCTTGGACCACATTTTCTCCTCCCCTCTTCCTCTGAAAGACTGAGATAGCACACTTTGTGAGCGCCCCTTTCTACCTGCCAGAATTGCTTTCCTGCGCTGGGAATTCCCCAACTTCAGCAGCCGAAGCAAGGACTTGTTAGGCCGTTTCATCCTGGCCCGTCGACATGTGCTGGCTGCAGGCTTCCTGGTAGTAGATGTGAGTACCTATGGGGTAGGCTGTCTACACAGGGAGAAGCCTCACCCAGTTTAAAGAGGGCCTAGAGCTAAAAGGATGCAGGTAGATAGCTGTCAAGCCCTGACCCCTAACCCATAGCCTGTTTTTCTCTCACTCACACATAGAGGGTCTAGGCTCCTGTGCGTACACCAAGAGGGCTGCGCTGCTCTGCTCTCATAGCCAGGGCTCATTCTCAGGAAGTCAGACTGGCAGCCTGGCTGCCAATGTGACCACGTGGAGCTGGTCTGCTGCAGAAAGGTCAAGGTCTGGTTGCAGTGCTAACTTTCCTATAAAGGCCCAGAGAGAAAGTTTAGAACTTTAAGAACTGCATAGAGGTTGGCATCACATTTTCTTCAGAGGCTCTGCTGGGTCCTGCCTGGTGCAACCTCTCTATCCCTATAGAGCCAGGGCCTCTCCACTTACACAGACTCTAGTTCCTTGGGCTCTTCCTGAGGACTTTGAAGCTAAGAGCTGGGTATTCAAAGCTGTTAGTCACCAGCACTGTCAAAGGGAAGGGCCACTGAGCAGGTGAGGGCAGGTAAGGATTCCACAGTCCATGTGACCTTCCCCCACTGTCTCTTTCCAGGTCCCATACTATGAGTGGCTGGAACTCAAGTCTGAATGGCAAAAAGGTGCCTACCTCAAGGACAAGATACGTAAAGCAGTGGCTGAAGAGCTGGCCAAATGATCATTTCCTGTCAGGACTGCATGCCAGGGGCCAGCTGCCCAGTGAATGCTGGGCAGGCCAGAGGTACCGCCCTTGAGGATGAACATCTCTGCAGGATCTTGGCCTGAGTGGGGGTACCAGAAGCTCCAAGGGACAGCTGGTCCTCTCTTGGGCAATAAATCTTTAATTTTGTTCAAAACCAAGCAGCCTCCTAGACTCTGTTCTGTCTTGTCTCTTCTGTCTGTCTGACTGCCCCATGCTGCCCCCCCACACACACACCTCTTTCCCATACTCTCACCTACCTGTCTGGGAAGCAGGGAATAACCTCCACCCCTCAGTAATGCCTGCTTAACACAGCCCAGCCAGAAGGGCTGACTTGAGAGATGGAAAACCTTGGGCTCAGACAGGTAAAGTCTTAGACTTTAGGGATAAGGAGCTTCCTGGGGAAGCTGACTGCATTTTATGAGTGCACAGCATAGTTCTGATTACAGTCCTGGGAGATTTCCTCTCATCCCTAGTTTAGTTTACGGTCCTTGGTTTTCTTCCAGTAACAGGTGGTGTAAGAACATTTGGAAGGCCCTGGTTCTAGAAGAGAGTCCCCATCTAGATTGTCAGGGTGTCTATCTTCTAGCCTCTGTAGGAGACTCCCAGAGGAGTCTTGCCTCCGAAGGCTTGCCCTCAGGAGAGTCTGAAGGAAACACCACCCTCTGTACCCCCAGCACCAGTCTGAATCATCTGTCAGAGGCGCTTAGCACAGAACACAGTTCTGGGTACTACAGAAGATTGTTCCCTAGTCTAGAGGAAGAGGAAAGCAGGAAAGTGGCCAGCACTGACTTGACTTACAGTGAAGGGAGAAGAGGCCAAGCTTGGCTGGGTTGAGGTGGGGCTGGTGAACAGTGCTGAGACAAGCCCGCTGGGGAGGCCTTGCTGGCGTCAGGGAGTGAAGGTTTGTGCTGCTCACCACTTGGGCCACTGGCTTTTGTTTTGAGGTAACTGGAGATCACCCTGCGGTTACTCTGGCTTCCTCATAAGACTATGCTGCGGAGTCACACCCCAGTGTTGACATAAACGAAGTCGGGCTGAAGGACATTCCTGTCCCCACAAGTTCCACAGGGCACCTACCCTGCCTTACAATTATTTTGAGTGTTCCATTACAATAAAGGACTCGGGCTGGAGAGATGGCTTAGCCATTAAAAACACTGGTTGTTCTTGCAAAAGACCTGGATTCAAATCCCCGCACCCACATAGCAGCTAACAGCTATCTGTAACTCCAGTTCCAGGAGATCCCACAGCCTCTTCTGTTCTCGGGCACTGCATGACACGGGTGCACTTACCTACATGCAGGCATAACACTCATACATAAAATAAAAATAATAAATATTAAAGGACTCAGGATGTGAACTTATTGGGAACATCCACATTTTCTTAAATATTTTATGTGTATGAGTGTATTGCCTGCATGTATGTGAGTGTACCCGTGTCATGCAATGCTGCAGAGGTCAGAAGAAGGCTTCAGATTCCCTGGAACTGGAGTTAAGGACGGTTCGAGACTGGTCTCACTGGTCTGGTCTTGCCCAATATGCCAAACTGACTAGCCAGCAAGCCCCAAGGGTCTTCCTGTCTCTATCTTACTAAGGCTAGAATCAAAAGCAAGCTTTGGGAATCGAACTCAGGTTCTCATGCTTACAAGACAAGCACTTTACTGATTGAGCTATCTTTTAGACTTGGTAGATTAAAATTGAGGATGAGGTTTTCTTGCCTCCCTGGAATTGATCTGTTGAAAAGCCATCTTCCCCCATTGACTTTTTTGTACTTATGCAAAAAGTTTGCATATTTCTGTGGGTATGTTTCTGAGTTTTTGTGGTGTTGGTATGTTTTCTGTCCCTATGGCAATGTTACATCTTGATGTGACTATAAAATGGTGTTTTTTGTCAGGTATTGTGGTATACTCCTATAGTCTCAGAACTAGTGGTTAACATAAGAGAATTGCCCTTTTTTTGGTCTTTTTTGAGACAGGGTCTCCTTGTAGCCCCAGCTGTCCTGGAACTCACTATGTAGACCAGGCTGGCCTCGAACTCACAAAGATCCACCTGCCTGTGCCTCCCAAGTGCTGGGATTAAAGGCATGTGCCACCACGCCCAGCGAGAACTGCCATTTTTAAGGCCAGCCTGAGCTGTGGGTCTTTTTGTAAGGCCTTAATACGGGCAGAGTAAATGGGTTCTCTAAACATGGAATTTCAATAGAAACAGCACTAAGTTTATGGGTCATTTTAAGGAGATTCAACATCTTTGCTGTGTTGAACTTGCAGTCTGCTTTTGATAGCTTTCATCACTGTTTTGTTTTTGTTTTCAGTGTGTGGTCAAGAACTGCTTTCAGGCTGGGTGTGGTAGCACATGCCTTTAATCCCAGCACTTGGGAGGCAGAGGCAGGCTGATCTCTGTGAGAATGAGGCCAGCCTGGACTACATAGTGAGTTCCAGGTCAGCTGGGGCTACAATGAGACCCTGTCTCAAAAAGACAAAAAATAAAAATAAAAAGATTGAGACTGGAGAATCGATGGCTCAGCACTTAAAAGCACCATCTGCTCTTGCAAAGGACCTGGGTTCAATTCCCAGTACCCACATGGTGCCTCATAACCATTCCTAACTCCAGTTCCAGGGGGTCTGACACCTTCTTCTGACTTACCCAGGCATTGCAGGACACAGGTGCACTTACTCATAAAAATAAAATAAAATTTGAAAAAAATATTTATGTATGCATATGTCTGAATGTGTGCCACATATATGCATATGACCTCAGAGGCTGGAAGAGGGCATTAGATCCCCTAGAACTGGAGTTAGAGATAGTCATAAGCTACTGATGTGGTGCTGGGAACCAAACTCGGGTCCTCTGGAAAAGAGGGAAGCACTCTTAACTGCTGAGTCATCTCTAACCCGTGTTATTTTTTAATCATGTTTGTTATTATATAGAAATTGGAGCCCGGCGTGGTGGCACACGCCTTTAATCCCAGCACTTGGGAGGCAGAGGCAGGCGGATCTCTGTGAGTTCAAGGCCAACCTGGTCTACATAGTGAGTTCCAGGACAGCTGGGGCTACAGGGAGACCCTGTCTCCAAAAGACCAAAAAAAAAAAAAAAAAAAAAAAAAAAAAAAATGGACTGGATTGTCTAACTTCCTGAACTCCTTTATTAGTCTCATGCATGTTTTTTGGTTTTGTGACAGGGTCTCATGTATCCTTGGCTAGCCTCAGACTCACTGTATAGTAGAGGCTGGCCTTGAACTTCTGATCCTCTGGCCTCCACCTCTCAACTTCTCTTACAGGCATGTGTCACTGCCATGCCCAAGTGTACTAGGGTTCTCTAGAGGAAAAGCACCTGTAAAGAATTTACTAGATTGACTTACATGACAGAGAGTGGGTAGTCTAATGACAAGTCTTCACACTTGGAGAAGCAGAGAGTTTGGTAGCTGCTTGGTCCGTGAGGCTGGTGCTCAAGGCCTGGAAGATTCCTGAAGAACGACTTGCCCTCGGTCCATGTTGAAAAGCTGAGCTTTGGTGTCAGTGAAGGATGGCACCAGAGGGGAGTAAAGGTGGGCAGGCAAAAGACTTCATACTTGCACAGCGGGGACAGCTGTTCCTTCTGTTGCCTCTTGGTCTTCAGCTTCCGATGTCTGGAAAACTGCCATATGTGGCTCGGGTCTTGGGCCACAGGTCTAGGGACATGTACTTCTGACCCTTGTAGAATTTCACAAGGTTTTCTTTCTGAGTCTGGTTAGTGACTGGTGAGGACACAAGGAATGGATTTGTAGACAACTCAGATCTTGGAGAGCATGGATGCCAAGCCACCTATCACTTCAGTGATGCACAACTGGGACAGTTCCAATTTGAGATTGGACTGTCCAACCTTTCTATCAGCTTCTTGCCATGAAGGTTCCAAGCCTAAATCTTAGCCATTGCTGCCTAGTTTTTAAATTTATTGGCGGCAGGCCAATGAGTGTGCTCCCCAGTTTGCACGGCAAGTGCATTTATCTTGGCAGCACCCTTCAGGCTTCTGTATGTTTAGGCAGTCCAGAAGGTGCTGCCCACTCTGGGGGAGGTCTTCCCCTCTCCCCCATTAATCCTTCCAGAAAATACACTCAGACTCATCCAGAGATGTGTCTCAGTTGGTCTCAATTCAGTTTAATGGAGTGCTTGCACCACCTGGGCACTTCCCCCAAAACTTCTAGGCCAGTAGAGCCCAAGGTTGCAAGAATAGGAAGCAAAATTTTTTTCTGGTGGATCACCAGGGGAGATGGTGAATGGTACAGTTCCCATTTCCACCCCTTGATTGTTGGCTCTGGGAATCCCGTGAGTCCTGGCTAGAGGAGAAACAACCATGTATCGGACTCTGAATTCAAAGCATATGCTCGTTTCTGGAAGAACCTGCCCTTGCCCTCCAGGCTATTGTCACTTAGTTGGTGCTGTAACTTGTTTTATGTCTGTATTTGGATACATATGCCATGGCATGGGTGTGGACACGGGTATGGAAGTTAGAGGACAGCTTGGGAATTGGATCTCCTTCCACTGTGGATTTCAGGGATTGAACTCAAATTGTCAGGTCTTTACCCACTGAGCCATCTTGCCAGCTCCCCCCGCCCCCCTTTTCTTAACACTTACATTTTGTGGGCTTATGTGCCAGAGCATGAGTATGGTGGTCAGAGGCTAACTTGCAGGAGTCAGTTCTTTCTACCATGTGGGTCCTAGGGATCAAACTCAGGTCATCAGACTTGGTGGCAAGAGCAACTGGTGCTCTGAACCGCTGAGCCATCTCTCCAGCCCCTGGACTAGAAGTTTTTAAAGTGTGTCCTTATGATTTTTTTAAATGTTACTGACATCTGTTGTAATGTTTCTTTTTTCACTTCAATTTTATTAATTTGGATCTTCTATTTCTCTTGGTATGTTTGGCTAGGGATTTGTCAATCTTGCTAATCTTCTCAAAGAACCAACTCTTCACTTCATTGATTCTTTGCACTGATTTTTTTCATTTCTATTTCATTCATTTCGGCCCTGATTTTGATGACTTTGTCCCATCTACTGTTTTTGGATTTGGTTTATTCTTGTTTTTCCCAGGACCTTAAGGTGTATCATTGAGCTGTTAATTTAAGATTTCTCAAAAAAAAATCTTAAAACTTAAAAAATAATTTTTTTCTGTGTATGAGTATTCTGCCT